ACATGGCGCTGCCCTACCCGGAGATGCTGCGGTATCCGAGCCGCGCCAAGGATTCCGAGCGCCAGCCTGAGTTTTTTTCGTTTTTCTCGCACGGCTGTGTCCCATTGTTTCTTCCATTTGCTGAAATGGATCTGTGGGTGAAATATCGTGTAACATAGGTGGTTTTACTTGGACCCATGCCCACATGAATATGTTTATTATTGTTTTTATGTTATTTTCCCTGTTGGTTTTCAAGGGGAATATTTCAGAGCATTTGTTCCAGGGGACATATGCTGAAGGTTTCCCCCTTTTTGCAGCTGCCAAAGTCTTGCCGGTGCCTAGCCGATCCCAGCCGTCTTAGGTTTTAGTTGGTTTGGTGATTGGAATGCAATGCAACCCAGGGTTTTAAAAAGAATCGATTTCACTGCCAACCGGACTTGTGGTCTCCACTAAACAACTTTGATGGCCCGGCCAGCTCTTATACTGACCGAGTAACATTGTGTTACTCCATGCCATCGCCATCGTCTAGCGATTTCGCTGTTAAACACATGTGTTGTTTTTGCCTGGGCACTTAAGCAGCTGCAGGTTTCCCTTTTTTGGAGCTCCAGAAGCGGCGATCGTTTCAATGGAATGCGACAGTCTCGGTGTCAGCCGACCGGCTTCCGCAGGTATTTTTGGTTTAAGTGAGTGGGTTTCCGCATGTAACCCACAGGTTAAACGTTTAGCAGGGGACCTTTTGACAGCAAAGAAGTGACGGTTTCAGTGAAAGCCACCAGTGAGTTGCAACTTTTCAAGGGGAAATCCAGGGGCCCTGGTTACAAGTCCTTTGCTCGGCCTGAAAGAGGGTGATTTGGAGCCCGATGCAATTGTGCAGGTTGGATGGTTTCCGGGGGTTCAAACCAAAACCACTAAGGGATAAACCTGAAATTCGAGTGCATCCATTCCTATGCGCCGGTTCTCATCGGATTCGGCGCCCTTTTTGAGGGAAACCAAAGGGCAGCTGAAGGTTTCCTAATAGGAACGTTGAAGAGCTACCACCGAACTCAAGTGCTTGGTGTAGATGAATCAGGACCCAAATTCTGTCCAGCGAGTGGATCTATGAAGATTCGCACCCCACGTCGAAATGATCTTGCTAGAAGGCTCTGAATCAGTGTCTCATTTTGGGCGGTTGGAACATCGATCTTCCTTGTGGTGATCCCAGGGCACATGCGTCCCGTTCGTTTTGTGCCATTCTTCTGGGTGACCCCGTTTTTGAATCACGGTTTGTGCCCCCAACCATTAGCAATAACTGTTGGTGTTTTTTGGTCCTGTGCTGAGTTGAGTATGTATCCAAATTGTCGGTTTAACATATGGAGGTGTCTTAAAATAGGGGACCCCCCCAAAAAAGCGGTAGGTTTCCTCTTTTTTTCTTCTCTAAGCCAACCCCAACAAGGGACCACAAAAAAGGAAACACCCATATCATTACCTTTGTTGAGATTTGAAAGACCACGCTGTCGGGCAGCATTTTTTCTGCCCTCGAGACGCCGAAACTGCAAGGCTGCAGTACTACATCGAAGAGATGAGCAGGTGCGGGATCTCAGCCCAGCTGGCGCCCTCGACTTTTTCCTCACAGATTACCGCGAACTCCAACAGTTTTCTTAGTTTCTGGTTCGTTTGGGGATGGTTTCTCTTAAACCTCAACTGACAAGGCCAACCAACATCCCTCTAGCACTGGCAGCTTCGGATCTGAGTTGGGAATAGGCGCACCTCCCTCAGTGGGAGTTTTCGAGCTGAAGCCAAGAGAGGACTTTCCTGCCGGTTTCTCCGAACCTTTTCAGCGCCCACAACTTCCATTCGCCACTTGAGGTGGGTTCGGTTCGCACTTTCTTTTCTTTTTTTAGCGGCTAGAGGGGTCTGTCTGTTTTTAGGGGTACCCCTTTCTTGTGGTTGTAAAGGGACACACTCTTCTGGGGGCCCCCTTTAAGAACCCAGAACCCTTAGCAAGCAGACCCAAAAGTTGTCCGCTCGGTTTGACTTCGGTCGGCTTTCAGGTTTCTGAGCCACCAGAACCTCTGCGACCGCACGCGTGGCCGCCTTCAGGAGACTTTGAGTTGGATCTTTCGCCGGTATGGCTCGTCAGAGTTTACAAATCGGGCCGAGATGGAAAATGGCTTCGGTTTCCCTTTTTGGTTCTCCTTGAAGCCAACCCAAAGAATAAGGTACCCTCAAAACATAAACATCCCCACTGTGGTGAAGTCCTGCATCCAGACTCAAACTCTGAGTTGGATTTGGCGAGTTTTTGGGTGTGGACCATTCAAGCGGACAACAACTTTAGAACTCTTTTTGGGCGCATCCACGCAGGACGTGAGCCCACCTGGTGGCCAAAAGCAGGATCCTAGACCCTCAAACTACCCATAAACACCCAAAATTATAATTCATGGGATGGTTCCCTTGTTTAAGGGTAGTTTGAGGGTCCAGGGAACCTGTTTCACCGGACCAAAACGAAACCATTCTTGGGAGGGAATGCTCATGTTGATTTCAAGACGCCCTGTCCACATGTATCACCACCCATGTCGGAATCTGGTTGAATGGAACTCATGACAGATCTGGGGGGCAAACATTCACTTCTTTTGTTTTAATCAACCCCAGTTCATTAATAGCGGGTGTTCCCCACCAAGCCCAGGGACACGCCATGGATGGACGAAATCCGATTCGCACCGAGAAACTAGAACCCCCGGGATGACTCGATTCCCGTGCAATTACCAAGGAAGAAATGTTTCAACCAGGGTTTCAAAGTGGTGAGAGTCCATCCACAGTATTAAACAACTGGGGTTGATCAATATGGGGTCAACATAAAGCTGATCTAATGAAACATCTCCAAGGGGCGAACAAGTGAAGGGCAGTAGCACGCCCTCCTTGACCTTGTTATATGAAATATAGAGATAGGAAATGGAGGGTCGATGAAGTCATATCCCGTCCCTAACCCATTTCCATGTCTTTCTATTTCTTTATCCTTTCTTCTTCCCCGGAATTTATCCGTCTTTAGAAGAGAGATGCATGAGGGGTGATGGCTATCTCTTCATCCATCACCTGACTCTCTCACTCTCTCACTCCATCTCTTCCTTTCCCAGGTCCAAAGGTGATGAGCTGAGGATGGCTTAAGAGATGGGAGATGGAGATGGTCTGCTCTGATCTTCGGTTCGCGTCTTTGCGAGCAAAATGTTGGCGGGGTGCTCCAAAAAGGCCCAAAAACCGAAAAGGAGATGGTGATGAATGGGTTTGGTTGTCGTTGGGAAACATTTTACATTTTTGCTTATTGAGGTTTAGTGGGAAATCCAACCACTTAGCTGCTTAAATTTCATTTCTTGCTCCCCTTCCAACGTCAAGGATCACCCATTCTCCCTCAGGATTAGAGGGCTTTAGGCACCCAAGAAGGCACCGGCAACTTCTTAGATCACGCACGTTGAGTATGTGCTTTGCATGGGCCAATGGGCCACTCTGGGGTTTGATAAGGGCTTCATGATTACACGCATCCTGTGATTATGACTTGGTTTGGCATTAATGTTTCCCACAGCCATTTTTTAGTTTTGAGGCCTGCATAGTACATGGGAACCAACGATGAGTTGTATTTAAGCAATACTGTGCATGACCTACCCTAGCAAAATCCGACCTTTTGACCTTTTGATTTCCCTCTTTGCGCCAAATTGTAGTAAAACGTCCTACCAGGTTGACCAAACAAACACATCCACTTTTGCCTTTCCTTTTGGCAACTTAGCAAAATAGGGGGGCTCTTTTTCGTGGGACCCACAAAATGGGTTTGGTTTCCTTGTTGGCTTTCCTTTAAAACGGCCCACATCAGGTCCACTTGCTAATCCTTTTGCTTGTCCTTTGGGCAAGTGGATATGCCCTGAAAGCAGCGGAGCTTTGTTGGCCCTACCCCCATGCTAACATCGCCCCAAGAAACAGGACTGCACAGCCCGGAGCTTTTGTTGGGCCTGTTGATTCCATTGCTGACTCATGGGGAACGAGATCCCTTGCAGGAGGCCAAGCGGCTGCTGGAGCTGGCCTTGTACCGGAACCGGGGCCCGAAGCCGAGAGAGAGCCGCGCGCTGTGCCTGGGCCGTCGTTTCAGGCTCGGCTTTTGTGAGTTGCTGGCCGTAGTTGGGCGGTTTTTGAAGGAAAGCCAAGAAGGAAGACGAAGCCATTTTGTGGGTCCCCCAAAAAGAACGCCAAAATGTTGTTTGTGTTACTTTCACCCAGAGGGAGACTAAAAGGATGTGATCTTGAATCACAAAAAAACTATTTAGCAACTTCAGCGACTCGTTGTTGCTAAAATCTAGACCTATTTGGCAACCGATGGGAGGTTGTTTACCAGGGATTCTGATGATTTCCTGATTTTGGACCCCTGGGTAAGATTCGATGACCCAAAGTTTAAACCCTGAAAGTATGGACCTCGGCTTTGAGCGACATCCGATGCAGAAGGAAACGAAGAGCTTCAGCCTGTGCACGCAGTCACAAAAGGATTTTGCATTTCTTCGATTTTAAGCCAAGGGTATCTACCTCTAACACTGCTTTCCGATTTGGGGGTAAAATGTAGGTCCTGTACTTGGGTGATCCAAGTCTTATTTCAAGTTTTGGAATTATTGGAAAGTGTATACTGTTGGTATGTCTAAAATAGTTTCCAATACCTCCCCCCCTACCTTACCCAGGGTTAAAGCATGTGACGTACAGCCACTACATAGCCACTCTACAAAGGTGCTGCATGCTGGCCTTTTTCTTGTTCAGTGGCATGTTTACCTCAGCTCATCACAAATCAGCAGACGTTTCTATGTTGCAGTTCCATGCTGAGCACCCCAGATTTGGCTCACTCAGATTGAAGCCAAAGGTGATGGAAACAAAGATGCTAACTTCGATGCAATGAGGGGTGGCAAGCCCCTTTGAGTAAGGGAATGATCCCTGTTAGGGGGAGGGTCCTCTGCCTAGCAGGTTCCTTTGGATGAATCCGAAGCTACATTATCTCTGCTGACGTCGGTTTTTGTCTGAGGCCTCTTGGCTCAAGGCTAGGCTTCAATCAGTGCATCGTAATTCAAGGGCGCGGTCGCACGGGGGCGTTTCGCCCCCGAACGCGTCCCGCCTTTGCCAGAGAGACGCATGAGACTCGTTCTTCTAGTGCTGCTCGCACAATGCGAAGCAGTACTCGATATCCTTACGGGATTGAAAATGCCTCGAGGTTTGGCATTAGACACTCGGCTGAAATGCGGGGGTAAGCCGGAAGACAAGGTACAGGAAGGATGTTTCGCTGTTGCTTTGCTGGGTATTTCTTTGTTTATGGAGGGCATGAAGAGCCAACTTTAACCTCCTCGCTGCTTGGGGGTCTTCAACTCACCAAAAAAAGACAGGCTAACATGCAAGCTCCCAGGAGGCCATAGTAAAATGGACCGAAGTCTTCCAAACTTGGAGGGTAGCTCAACGCTTGTGAAAATGAAACGGGATTTGCATGTCTGCTGTTTGTTGGCTGGCATGGGGGCTTTTTTTAGAGAAGCAACTGGTAGAGACGGGTTTCTCCCTAACCTCATGTCAAAGAACCTTGTGTGTTTGTGGAAGAGCTCCATAACTTTCGGGAGTGCAGGGTTTCTGATCTAAGACCAGAAACCCCCTAAACGACTCTGCCCGAGGGAACATAAGGACGTACCAGCACCATGCAGCTACTATACAAGGGGCATGTGGCCCGGTTTCCCGTTGAGTAGTGGTTCGCGGGTGGGAGCCGTCTTAAATTTGAAGGGAAGAGGCTCCGACATTTGCCAGTCGAATGAACATGCGTACCACCCAGGACACTGCTTTGAGATTTGCTGCCGCGTTTTTTGGAGCTGGGGGGTTGATGACCTGAGCAAAGTCCACCCCGATTCGCAATTCGAGTACCTGGAATCGCGAACTACCCATAAATTTAGGGTTGCAGCAGCCCAAAAAGCATGGTCGGTGATTCCCATTTAAGGGGATCAGGTGGTTCTACCGGGATCAGGTGGTTCTTGACCCCTTGAATGGGAATCAGTTCTTCGGGATCAGGTGGTTCTACCTGGTCTTCCAGGGATTTCTTCGGCCTATAGCCACATAGAGCTTCTCAGGCTTTTGGGCCCAGAACATGGCTTTGCCTCAAACGCCTCCGTTTCCTTCTGGTTTCCCTTTGAACCACCGAAAAAAAATGTGGTGGACACTCCAAAGCAGGCAGCCCTGCGAATTCGTCCCTGGCTTCGACTCACTGGTCCTCTTTGTGGATCGCCCGGATATGACATGTGTTGCCGCTTTTGGCCACCATTTCTGGCCTTAAAAAGTGAGTACCCGTTTCTTCCGTTTGCAGAAGACGTGTTGCCCCTGTTAGTTTTAAGAGAACCCGACCGAGTTGAGAGGGTTCAATCATGACAGAGGTCCATACAACAAGTTGCTTCCCTTTGCCTAACAACATGTTCATTTCCACTGTTGGCTTGAAAGGGACTCTGTCACTCCTGGGCATGAGTCATGGTTTGTTTTCCCGGCAACTTAGGCGAATGGACGCTTTATTTCTGGGTTCGAACTGGGCAACTGAGAGAAGGGAAGCCAAACGTACCGCCACCACCAAAGGGCTTTGAGGTGCCTTGCAGGCTTTGTCCTACGAACATGGACACCCAACGCACTCAGTTTCACCATGATTTTTCGCCCGGGAACCGATCCAGATCCAAAAGTGATTGGACATGAATCCCCACCGAGTTCTGATGTTCACCAAAGGGTCCCTTGTTTCAATTCATACCAATTTTGAGTTCAGCTTGCATTGTAAGAGGTTCAACTTCTGACACCAGATCATGACAACCTAATGAAGCGGTGGCCAAAGGTACTGCAAGCGAAAACTAGAGGTGATTTAAGGTGCTCAACAATTACCCTTCCCAGTCGCCATGGCACCTGACAGGGGGTCCATTGAAGAGGAGAATGATCTTCCAGCCTCCCCACAGGTGCCATGTTAAGTGGGGGGAAGGGTTGGACTAGGTTGTGGTTTTAACCCCACCATCACGTTCGAATTATCGAAGGGACCCTTGTAGTGAATGAAGGCTCTCTCAACTCTAGGGGGACCACCTGTGTAAAGACCGCGACCCAAACCTGAACCTGCACGTCCTTTGTACTTTGGCGGATTTCGAGAATTCAAGAGATGGGTTCTCGGATTATATCACATCATGGCTATGGAGGTACATGTGTTTGCATATGACTTTGTTTTGAGGGTTCCCTTTTCCCCAGGATGTCAATTGAAACCAAAAGGAAGCCAGCCTTTTTGTTCTGTCCGTGCGGCCTGGGTCATACGGGAAAACCGATCCAAATGCAGCTTCCGTTCAACCAGAAGCAAAATGGCCACACGGCATTCCAGAGAGTTTTGGCCATGGTATGTATATACATATATATCTATACATGTATATATATAAATACATTCTATGATATATTATGTGTATAATACATATTTGGTGGGTGCATTGCTGTTGAGGTCGCCGAGGCTCCCGTTTTGCGGCTTCGAATCTGCATCTCCGCATCCGAGGACCTCAAGGAAGGCCGAATGTACTGGGCAGAGGATGGCACCAAGAAGCTGAGGAGTGCCACTTTGGATGGCGACTGGGTTGCAACCCTGGCACCCGTTGCTTGCTTTCCTTCTGTCCTTTTCTCAAATGTTTTTTTTCCGGGGGGGGGGGAGCATCTGCTTCTTGTCTTGATTGTTGGCTTGCTTTCTTTGCTTTTTCTCCTACCTTTTGTTTTGGTTCCGGGGGTGGGGGAAGGGGGGTGGCCTCTGTTCTTTGCTTGTTTTGTCCTTTTGCGTTCTTTCCTCCTGTCCTTTTCTCCAATGTTTTTCGTTTGGTGGGGAAAGGGCGGGTAGCATTTGTTCTTTCTTTGGTTGTTGTTTTTTTGCCGAGGGGGAGGGGGGGCGGGGGGTGGTGGGGCGAGATGATGTTTTTTGTTGTGTGCTCAAGGCAATTGTTTTTCTTTCTCGACTTGTTTGGGAAGGTTTCGATGCTGTTGGGATTTCATGTTTGTTTATTTCCGTTGTTGATTTCAGGATGTATTTGTGGGTAAGGGTTGTTGCCTTTAGACTCCGCCCACCCCAACAAAGGTGTTGTTGTTTCTTCTGGGGAATCGGCTGCGCTTCTGAGGCCAGGATCTCAGAGACGTGGTGGTCAAGACCGAGGCCGGAGGAATGAACAAGACGGGAACGGGGTGAAGGGGATGAAGGGAGTGAACAGGATGAAGGGGGTGCTGAAGCACATGCTGGAAACTGGGCGGGGGTTGAGGGTGATTATTTTGGTAGGGGGTTTGCTACGTCTCCTACCCTTTCTGTGCCAGTCTTGGAACAACCAGTACTTCGTTGGGAACCTAAGGCAGCAGGATCTGGCCATAGGTTGAGTTCACAGGATGGAAAAGGACCTTTTCGTTGGTATCCAAAAGGGAGACAACGCAAAGTTACCATTTTTTTTGGCCGGGATCTCCTTTGTTGGACAAACCCAAAACATGCCATGGTCCCAAATGTAGGGGGCCGCACCTCGTGTGTATGGCATCAACTTGATGAAGCACTCCGTGACCGTGGACAACTAAAAAAGCAAGCATGCTTTCAGTTGATGAGCCACCACCACAATTGGTGCACACACCCACACACACACATGCATTCATGCTCATCCAGTTATCCATCCGTCCGTCCATCCATACAGATATCTGCCGACATGCGTGCATGCGCGCATGCATTTGTACACATACAAACATACCACGCTCACGTGCAGATGTATAATGTGTAATAGCCGAAGGCATGCACCCAACCTGCCGAGGTGCAAGAAGCTCCTCGAGACGTTGCCATAGACCCTGCCGCGCCCTCGGAAAAATGGAGTTTTTCCGACTTTGCAGCTCTCGAAAAGCCATCCAAACACATCCAATATGCACCCCGCAAACACATCCTGATTGTTTCTTGAGCTACTTTCCCTTCCAAGCCAACATCAAGCACATGACCCGGCCAAAAAAATGCTTGGCCCCGACCGCGCACCGCGCGGGTTAACTGGGGCGTTCCTTGAGGCGAGTCGGAAGGTCTACTGGACCGCCCTCTGCTGCGGCCTTCGCCGCGCGGATTTGGACGGGGACAACGAGGAGGCGAGCCGAGCGGCTCGCGGAGTTTTCCGGCGAATGTGTTCGCGGAGGTTTTCGGGGGCTAGGGGGGAGGGGGTAGTGCAAGGGGGGGTTCCCTAAGGCCCAAAAACAAACCTAAGGAATCCTGAGGAACCTTGAACAAAAGAAAACTAGAGTTGGTCGGGAGGAGTTGGCTAAGTAAGGGGAAGGTGGTCCAGGGGGTTGTCTATGGTCTGAGGAACCCTAAGGAATTTGAAGGAGCACTAAGGAGCCCTAGGGCTCTCAACTCGGCCAAGGAGTGCGTCGCGCGCATCCGTCCCCGCTCGCCCCCCCAATGGAATTCGGTTTTTCTCTTTGTTTTCCCTGGAAAACAACCAACAAAAAGAAGGCAGACCCAAGGAGTGACGCGGTTTCTCAAAGGGGATGCACAAAAACGAGTGTGGGTTTCACACGACAAATGGATGGCGCAACTATGAGTCTTCATGATTTGAAGAGGGAGCCCCTTCCAAAACCCAGTTGCCCAGTGGCGCCTTTTTTGTTGTTGGGAAGGGTTCCCCTTTAAACTCAACCAACCAAAAAAGGATGCCCTTTTTTGCCCGTGGCCCCTGGGCATCCGAGAAAATGGGTGGTGGACACTAATCCGCCTCGAGGTCTGAACGGGGGGTTGTGAGGTGAGACATCCCAGTCTGGCAATGCAAAGAGCATCAACCTCCATTGCTCATTGCTCCCTCCTCGAGTTCCTGGACTTTAGTCTTTTTGCGTTTGGACCATTTTAGCGGCGAATAAAGCAGTTCAGACTTGTTGTTGGCCAATCTACTCGCGGAAGTGAGAGTCTCCCTGCCTCTACGCATTTGAGCCATCCACACCTTCATAGAAGCTTAGGGACAGTCCCTTGCCATAGATCAGATTCGCCCTGTTGGTTCTCTTTGCCAGGTTTTAGGTGGACCCGTAAAGAAACCGGGGGTTGTGGCATTCCACTTAAGAACACCCTGAAAGCTGTAAAATCCGAGATGGAACTCATGGGCCGCTTCGCGTTGGTTTTCTTTCTTTCCCTTCCCCACCCCCTAAAAAAAGAAGCAGAGCAAAACTCAAAAGCAGGGTGGGTTATCAAAGCCAGAAAATGGTCAGCTGGTTGATTTCCCATTGTTCAACCATTGTGATTTTAGAAAAACGGGACAGAAGATCCCTGGAAATAATGGGAAAGTTACCAGTAGAAGACTTGGCGGTTTCGGTTCCCCTTTCTTCTCTTGTTCAAACTACCCAAAAGCTGGATACCTTGAAATGAAATGACCGTATGTTTTCTATTTTCCCCTCTTGGTTTTTAAGGGAATCGATTTCACTGGACATATTTGTTTGCCTTTTCCTCGGGGGGGGGGGGAGCAAATGGATTCGTTGGCAGGTGGTCGCCTCCGCTGAGTTTGCCAGCGGGGTGGCAATCTTCGATGACTACGTCTACTGGGCGCCGGGGCGAAACAACAAACAACTTGATCCGGGTTGTCAGACGTCCCCTCCTGGCAGAGTCTGTCTGTTTGGGTTCCTTAGGTTAGAATTTAGATACTTTTTGTTGACATACACAGCAAAGTTAAACTAGTAAGGGATCAACAAACCGCCGAGGCGTTAGATTCACAACTCCTTTCGGTGTTTTGTTATGGAAACCCCAGAGGGAAGCCGCCTAGGTCCAAATTGTCGAAAGTCTACGCTTTGAATGTTGGCTGTTGCGTTAAGTGCTGCCTGAATAGGGCAAGCGGGTTGCTCATTAGTTAGGCCCCCGCGTCCTCCCAAACAGGAGTAGACTACTTGGTGGTTCCGACCATCCCCTTAGCTTCTTAGCTTTTTAGGGTTTAGTGGTTGGGTTTCCATTCAATCCGCTTGAAGTTAGTCACTTTTGGCAGGGCCCAGTTGGGGTTTCCCTTTAAACCACAACAAATGATCGAACTCCTCCAACGGCAGGAGTAGACTACTGTGCCCATGATTTAAGAAAGGTCAAGTTGATGCAGTCGTTGCGCGTTGGTCCTTATCGCTACTCCTGGAGGCCATATCCGAAAGCTACAAAAAGATAGTGACACCACATGGCTGTGGCATGTTTGGGGGGGGGGTTGCCAAGTTCTGCGATAAGACGGGGCGGCCCTTCAAAGTGATACAGCACTCTATGTTAATAAAAAAAAAAAAAAAAAAAAAACACAAAATGCCAGGTAAAGGGGCTCCGCAGAAGAAAAAAAACACACCTTCTGGACGCATGTTTTTTTTCTCGGAAGCCTCCACGCGTTATTCCCGAGGCAGACTGGATGCATGGCCAGATCCTCCGTCGCAAGATGGGTGACTCGGGAACTGAGGAGCGGGGCAGCGAATCGGATTTCTCAAAGTGGAGCTCCTTTTGGTTGTCGGTTCCCGAAGGCCATCCGGTTCCTTAGCTTTTTAGCCTTTTAGTGTTTAGTGTTGCTTCCGCATTCAAAAGTCAATCTTTTCGCAGGGGATCTGAGGACAGCCCAGTTTGGTTGGCATTCACTATTGGACAGCAAGAGGACACGCTTGCCATTGTTATGCCATTTTTGGGGGACCGAACCAAGCTTAAGAAATACCCAAAGCCGCGTCGCTTGGAGAACCAAGGATTACGCGCACCGATTTCAGAACCCATTCGGGCACAAAACGAGTAAATCAGAATTTCAAGGCCCTGACTTGGGGACTTGGTGCGAGAAGGAATGACGGAGTCCGGGTGCTGGGAATGAACCAGTTTTGGGGATTCCCGAAGAAAGGAAATGTTTGTTTCGGGGTCATTCCATTTCTCATTCCCTGCCTATCGCACCAGCAACCCCACTGTTGTTGGCATGTTGTTTGAGTTTTTTTTTTTTTTTTTTTTTTTTTTTCCGGGATTCTGTTTTTTGTTTAATGCGTTTGTTTTTGCGTGAGCTGCAAGAAGCATGTTGTCTTGCTCCCATAGCAATGGCTGTAAAGGGAACAAGGCCCCGCTAGAATGGAACCCTATCCCCAATAGACCCCAGTAGTCGCTATTAGCCCCTGTTGGGATTGGGGGGGAGACAGAACTGGGGAGGTCCACCATGTCTCAATATTCACTTGCCGAGAATTAGGCCCAAGCAAGAAGCCAAACTCTTGATTACCACTGAAACGGTCTTCCCAGGAGCTCAGGAAGTGAGAATGGGAAGCTGGGCTGTCCGCAACAGTTTGGAGCAGTCCAAATCCTAGCCCAGGGAAATGGCTCACCACCAAGGAAAGACTTGTTTGAAGAGCCATACATTTTTGTGGATGGCTTTTTGGGTAAAGGCTAGAACGAAATTGGCGATTTGGCACCCAACTTGGTCCGGAAGCCAGCTCGGGTAATAGAGAATCTGCCAAGCCTTGGAACTAGGGCTAGGGAAACAGATTGTCGTGACAAGCTTCAAACTCTGGCAGTCACTCAGTACCAAGCTGTCTCCTCTTGCTGTCAAGGGCCAAAGCCGCCTCTAGGAGCCCATAGTGACGGGCCTGGCGTCCCCGGTGGACGTAGCCCTAGATGCGACTTGGACTTGAGGCATGGCCTTATCCTCCAAAAGGCGTTATCTTAATAAAGGTTGTTTTTTTTGCTGCCTAATTAAAGGTGCTTGTTTTTGGGTTTGTTTTTTTTTTTTTACCACCTAAGCTTATTCTTTTGGTTTGTTCTTAATCGAGGTGTTTGAACTTTTTTGAGCAGGAGGCAGTTGCCTCCTTTCTACATCAGTTGGCAGTTCTTCGAAGGTTTCCCTTTCGGATTGTCGCTTCGCGTGTCTTGGAGCTCGGGTGATCAGTCGACATCTTGGCAATTTCGGAGCTCGCAAATTGTCACGCACCCCCTAAAGAGTGGTCCCTCAAAGGAGGTTGCTCTGTAAATGAAGGTTCTCCAGGTTCCACGTTTGCAGGATATTCTGTTTGCATTGTTGTGTTTCTCCAGTTTGGGTCGCACCGTTTTTTTTGCAATGTGTTCCCCTTTGTAAATGCAACAGCGGAGACCTTGAGAATCAGGCCTTTTCCCCCGACAAACCTTGCAGCACTCAGAGCTGATCCGTTTTGCTACGTGCGTCGGGACAACAGGCAGCTCCAGGACACATGCTACCAAGTGGTTTTCGGGAGAGTTGGGAACCTTGCGGCTTTGCACGCAATTGCGTGGCTTGCAATATTCCCCCTTTCGAGCATGATGTGTAGCTGGAGTTCGGAACGCCCAAAAATATCCAGGGGGAACAGCCGTTGTTTCGGGAGCATAATGGTTGACAAAAAGATCGGAAATCCCCACTAGTTCGGGGCAAGCGGATTTGCACCAACATTTGCCTCACGTTCAAGGGGAACACAGTGTCTAAGCAGGTCGAGGCCTCCTCCTGATTTCCAGTTTGGGGGGGCGGTAAAACGGATTCGGACCCTGGTTGGTTGGTATATGCACGGGGGAACCCACAGGAAACCTACCATTTGTATGGGGTGTTTTGTTTTTGGGGGGACCCCTCAAAACTATGGCTTTCCTCTTGGCTTCCCTCCAAAAACCACAAAAAGACGGTGTACCTTCGAGAAGACGCCATTGTTTCGCGCAGCATCCATGGGTCCTTTTCGAGGCGGCGCCGTGGCCTCACGCGTCAAGCGCCTCAGGCGTCCTCGAAGATGATCTACTGGTCCGACGTGGGCCAGGCCAGAACCCAGCGCGCCTCCGTGGATGGGAACGGCATCCAGGCGCGGTGTGCGGACCAGGCGTGCGCAAGGCGTGCGCAAGGCGAAAACCCGTCAGTTGTCACTCCCCGAGTCAAGCTGTCTCAACTTCACTTTTCGGGTTACCGAAAGTGGCGATTGCAAAGAAACCACCAGTGAATTGCAAGTTTTGAGGGAATCCAGTGAAGCCTGCGAGTTCCTGGACTTTGGTTGCTTGGGAAGGTACTTCTAGTGGCAAATCGGAAGTTCCCGGGCTTATTTTGGCCAATCCAGGAGGTGATGATTCATTTGCGGAAGAGCACAGGGAGCAACTGAACCACACTTCCAGGGTAGGTTCTCCAGTTCTTTCCTGGCAAACTGCCCAAGGGCACCACCCTAAGTGACAAACCCGTCATGGAGATGGGAAATCTACGTTGGTAGTGCAGGCCACAAAAGGTTATACAGTGGAGTCGACAGGCTCTGTTTGTGGTGGAGGAGCAACGATGGTGGAGGCCATTTTTCTAGTTGTAACTTCCTTAGTTTGAATCGAAGGGACCTTCTTTTCACAAATCCGCCAAGCACCAGGGACTGCAACTGGATTCCTCAGTCTCCAATTGGACTTCCAGAAGTAACAGCTTTAGAGCAAACCACCATGGAACCGGAACTTTTGAAGGGGAAATCCAGTGAGCCCTGCAGTTGAAACGACCGATGGACAAGAACTGGGACTCAACCCCACTTCCATTTGCTTAAGAGTAGTGTGTATTCTCTTCTGTTGGTTTTAAAGGGAACCTATCTCCGGACATATGTTTCTAGGGGTTGATTCCCATTCTTTTCAACCATCGTTCTTGTCAAACACCAGCTGTTTCCCCACGGTTTTTGGTGTTTTTTTAGAAAGATTCGGATCCGCGGAAAGAATGTAATTGGAAGGCACCCCTGGAAAAGAGGGGATGGCTGGGAACCGCCAAGTAAATATGGGTGTGAATGAGTTTTTGAGGGCAGCTACATGGTGGTGGGTCACAAAAAAATGGTAGCCCTTAGAAGGTTCTCTCATTTCTTCCAGGGCTTAAAGAAACCTCCTCAAGCGAATGGAGAAGCCAATGGAGGCGCCAGGTTTTCGACAGGTGCTGAACATGAGCTGGGCCATCATGAACACCTACGGAATGGCCGTGGACCACTTCGCACGGAAGTTGTACATGGCCGATTTCGAGAAGACGGGGGAGTTTACAGGCCACTCCCCGGCACTCGGCACCTCCCTGGAGCTCAAGTTTGTTCGAAGTTTTTTTGGGGCGATTTGTGTGTGTGTGTGCTAGGGGTTGTTCAGCCTGGGTTTTGGTGTGTTTCTGTACTTTCCCCTTTCCCGTTGCCGCTCGTTCTTTCTATCGTGGGCGGGGACTTTTGTCTGGGGCCAACCAGCAAAGTCCCAAACCGCAATCTCTGCACTGCGCAAGCGCCAGCTGACATATGCGGGATTTCAGTTTTGGGGTCAACACCGGTGTGGATTGTTCCTGAGCTGTTCCCCCATCAGTCCCGGTATTTCAGCCACCAAAGTTGGTTCATCCCAGTCCCGTAGAGAAGCACCGGGACCGACTCTGTGGGGGCTGGGTGCCGGCATGCTGCGGCCACACTTCGCGCATCAAACGCTCGAAGGCTGCTCTTCTTATGGCAGCACTGCTTCTGGGTTGGTCTAGATTGTGTCTTTTTAGGGGACCCCGAACCCCCCCCCCCCCCCAAAAAAAACAATTTAACACAAGCTTCGTTTTGACCCCCTTTAAAACTTAAAACCCAAAAGCTCGGTCCCCTAAAACAAGACCAGATCAATCCGCCTGCCACGGGTGTCAAAATACCCTCAGTGCTGCAAAACATGGAGCTTACTGCTCACTTCCCCCACAACAAAACAGAAACGCGCTTTCTGTTCCGTCCTTTTGCTCACTCCCTGAGTTCCGTTTCGCACTGGTCGCTTTTTGGGACGATCGTTTTAGTATGAGTTGTTCAGACTTGTTTGTCGCTCATCAACTCTGGAAGTGAGCTTGGGTATCAAGGAACTTGAACCGTGCCTGATATCGAGGTGTCTTGGACAGAGGAAAATTGAAATGTCAGTTCGATCCCTGCACATTTGTTTAGACACGGTTAGTCAAGTTATCCTTCAGCTGGAACACGTCCTACATTAGACTCTCAAACTACCTGTAAGACTGTGTGATTTTCCGAAAATAATGGTGGGTACCACGTGATGTCCCTTTTGTATGGGTAGTATGAGGGTCCAGGTGTTTGTGTTTCTTCAGCTTCTCATTCCCTGAGTTCCTGGAATTTGATCGGACTTTTTCTGGGCCTTTCTGGCCCGATGCGATTTGTTTTACATGGTGGGGCCATTGGAAGTGTTGCCGTATTATTGCGGATGCCAAGAGGATTTGCTGAACAGAGGGTAAAGCTACCGCGTCGAACCAGCTGAAGGTTTGCCCGTTTAAACAGTTTTGGGCCGCTTTTAGATGAGTTTCCTCTTGGGAAATGTTGAAAGGGTAAACATGGAGAGCCCGTCAGAAAATGAAAAGGTATGCTCACAGACAAACGCCCCAAATCCCCAGTTGTTCGAATGCAGACTGAGACCATTTCCGCGCCTTTGGAATTTGTTGGATGGAGCTCAGATGTCATGCCGCAATTCGGCATGGTCACAGTGCAACCCAGATTTGTTGGCACCTGTTCATGGCACCTGTTTTTTTGGCACAAGTGATCCCGCTCTCGCATTTGCAGTGAAGGATTCTTGAGGGATGCCCTTGGCTTTCTCAAAAGAGGCTGCGACGTGTTTGCGAGCTGTACCTTCCCGATGTCTTCAAAAACCATTCTCTTTAAGCAATGAGCCAAGCATGCAAGAAATGGTTGGTTTGTACAGCAGAGGTCGATGGGCAACGAAGAATGCTTGGAATCAACGCTCAGAAGTAAACCCCGGGAACACGTACGCCCATATATTGGCATCTCAGAGTTTGCCAGGCAAGGCACCCGGTTCCTGGGTTCCAATTAGAGGTTCCCTTCCGGCCCATTTCGTTGAGGAGACTCCTCGGGCTGGAGATCTCGCTTTTTGCTCTTCAAGGTTCAGAACCTTCCCCCTCCCTCCCCCCCTTCGCCCCATTTTTTTGGTGCTCCGTGGCTTTTGCGGAAAGAATGAACCTGCGTCAGAAGGACATCCCAGCCTGGCGTCCGTAATCAACGGCGCAGGTGGCAGCTCGGACTATGCGGGGCGCATCATCCGCACCAACTTGGACGGTTCCAACGCCGAGGTCTTGGTGAGCGAGCCTGGGCTTGCAGTTAATGTTAACGGAGTGGTGGATTTTGATCGGGGGTTTGTCCCCTTTTTGTGGGGATTCAGACCACTTTTGGAGGGAACACCCCCTAGTGGGATTGGTTTATTAATCCTGGGCTTGCAGTTAGTCAGATCCCCGCAATAGCCAGACTTGTTTTTTATGGTCTCCACAGGGCAGCTTGAGCAGTTCCGGTGGAACCTGGAGCTGTCCATTCCGTTCTTGCATACCATCGTCTTCGTCCC